AAGAGTAGAAACCATATTTGAAACTAGAGATTTTAGAACTTCTCTTATAAATTTTCCTACCACATGGGCTTGTCTAATTGGTTCAAGAACTTCTCTTATAAACTTTCCTACCACATGGACTTCTCTAATTGGTTCAACTTTATCAATTAATTAATATAAATTTATTGTGTTCATAATATTATTATTATATAGATTTAGATACTCATTAGAGATACGTACCGATGGACATGCTTTTATATGTATGAGATTCGTTCGTATCTCATGCATGTGGTTCACTCGGGCTAATCATTTAATTGACCTATCCAGTATTCAAAAGAAGTGAGTGGATTTACCCTAAATTTTAAGATTACTGTATTCATTTAAATTCGAATGACGACATGATCTATAGAAATAGTTGTTTACAAATCTGCGAAGTAAGTACGTACGTATGTTGTAGATTTTGTGGGGACCATAATACAAACGGTTTATCTTATGTAATTTATATTTTTAACATGGTTTGAGTTTATTATATACTCCTTAATTAATTTTACAAAATTTCAATAGTTTTTCTTACACAGAATTTTCCGATCTATATAATTGAGTGGAAATCTGAAACTGACTAACTCAGAGATGTCACTTTTGGTGTGTCCATTTGCAAAAATGATATTTTTGATGTGTCTATATGCAAAAATGACATTAATTAAGAATTTTTAAACCATAAATCTTAAAAAGGTTTTGACCCCAAATAAGTTCTAAACCCTCAAAACTAAATTTTAATACAATTTAGTTAACCCAAACATAAATGATATATTGAGTAAATAATTTTTAAAAAGTAGTATTTTTACAAAATGTTTGAAAAATAGCATTTTTGAAAAGAAAGTGACATTTTTCAAAATTAAAAAGTAAGAAATTATCAATTATTATTTTATATCTATATCAATATATCATTTATACGACCAAAAAAATTCGTGTTTCATATATAACTCATAAAAAAAATTGCATATTAACGTGTGTTTCACAAACAAAAACAACTCAAATTTTTTTAAAATTCTTCACTTCCTCCCATTCCCCCAATTCCTCCAATTCTTCTATAATCACAAATGGTACTAGAGGAATTTTTGTTTCCCTCATTCCTCAAAATTCCACAAATCCACTGGCACCATTTAGAGCAACAATTAGTTGGAGATTTTTTTTGTTTTTTGCTAAAATTTGTTAAGATTTATTAAAAGTAATAATATTGTATAATTAAGTAGAAAATAATGATGCTTACAATAACAAAAATCGATGGTTCAGTGTTGACAAAATGAACATTTATACCAGTGATCTCTCCTCTGGATTCTACGTTAGCAAAACATTTGTTTAATTATTAGACGATTCATTTTTTTTTCCAACAATTATTAGATTCAGACATTAATAATCTTATACTTTTTTGTCAAAATATGTATCTTGTGAACGTACTTGCATGGTAGATTAAACAATAGATAAGAATTAGTGACCACAAAACAAAATGATACAATTTAAGTAATGATATGTTACATATTCAAATCGTAAAATTTTCTAGAAGTTGAAGAAAGTTTGCATGGGAAGCAATCTTAAAATTATGTATTTTCGTCAAAAATTATTAAACCTTAATGGTGAGACGTCATGACTTTACACTCGTGCTTGTCGGACCTTTTTTGACCTTTTTTTTAAGTTCACATCTTGCATCGACGTC